CGCTCTTCCCACTTAATTTTCTTCCTGAGGTATTCTCCTGCCATTCAATTTGAAAGCCTATGCACATTATGCTTTATGCTGATTTTCTACATTATATGGACTTTCTTTTTATCTTATGATTGGCATAGCATGAAAACATGTGACCTTGCAAAATTAAGTGCATAAAACGCGAAATCTTCCATGAGGTAATGGGGTAAGAAACAAAAAGGATTTGTTCATCATTTATGAGGTAATGGGGTAAGAAACAAAAGAGATTTGTTCATCATTTAAACTGTATTTTGTCATTTCTGTAATGTGTCGAGCATCTAGGAACAGATAATGTGACATAAAGTGTCGCCTTACAACGGTTCTTTAGGTACAATACCTTCATTAACTTTATAAGGAGCTTTAATATTGGTGTAGTAGAAGCCTTTATCTGAGGGGAGAAAAGTTCCATGACGTGTACAAGTTGACAGCAATTTTCTAGTGCCGGATTTATCTCTGAGATTGATGTTTCAGGTGACTTACGTGCCACTTTCAGTTATAATATCCACCTTTAGAAAGGAGAACATTAAGAGGCCCCTCGAGGGATTTGGAGTTCTCGTTCCTTCTGTGGAGCAGCGGAATGGTTTAAAAACTTTAGGTAATGCTTGGCTATTTGTCCTTTATTGTAAATCTGGTACGTTGTGATCACTGATCACTATGTCCATTATGCTATGCAGGTACTCTCTTTTCGTCTATGATGTTTCCTGATCGTGCACCTAGCGACCTATATCTATACACAACCTTTGTTGGGGGAAGCCGAAACAAGGAATTAGCAAGCGCATCAATGTAATCAAGCTTTAATTCTTTGTGTTTTTCTCTGCACCTCTCGGTATAAACTTTATATGCTATTCACTCTTTTTTCCCATCGATTTTGTTGTTTTGTAGAGACGAACTGAAACAAGTTGTCACCTCTGACCTTAAACAGTTATTAGGAGCCGAAGGAGAGCCCACATTCGTAAAGTAATGATCTTTTCCTTATTAGTATCAAACAAAGCTTCTGGATTATGGCTCGGTTATATGGATAATTATCTTACGCTTGAAGCATGCTAATGACAGCCATTTTCACTGGAAGAAGGCATTTCCCTTGTACGGGCATAATTATGATTCAGTTGTGGAAGCTATTGAAATGATGGAGAAAAAACTTCCTGGATTCTTCTATGCAGGTAGTTAATTATGTGAGAAACTAACTTGTAAAGGGTAAAACGAATAAAATGTTGATTATCACGAGTTTAAACCTAATAATGCAATATGAATTGCCTTTGATAGAACACACACGAAAATTATGTGCTTTTTTTGCATTTAGATACTCGTTGTTGCTACTGTTATTCTGAATTGTTTGTGTTTATTTCTGTAGGCAATCACAAGGGTGGGCTGTCTGTTGGAAAAGCAATAGCCTCTGGATTCAAGGCGGCTGAACTCGTGATCTCGTATTTGGAATCTTCTTGAAATGAAATTTCACATTGGCCCCGATTGTAGAAATCTTTAACACTGTTCCCTGTATGATATCTTGTACTTCATATGTTGTTCTTTGTCCAATTAATATCGTTTTCAGTTGATATTTTCGTATGATAAGTGTAAGTTTTTTAAAGTTTACGTTCAAGAAAAAAAATAAAAAGTTATTGTCGTTTCTTTCCAGGATTAAATCATCATAAGTCCATCCCTTAGCTTTAAAAAAATCAGAGCAGCCAGATGACTGATTATCAGGTTTTGTTTAAATACAATTTTCCTTTCAAAAAAAAAAACAAAGTTAATGTCGTTTTCCGTTGGTATCATTCCTATCATGTATTTTTTTTTTTTTTTTTTTTTTTTTTCTACATATAAAATTTTCATGGAAACGAAAAATAAAAATACCCATTTCACAAAAAACAAAAAAAATATATCCTTATTGCATTCCGTCTACTGCCTTTCCTCCCTTCTCATTATTCATCACTTTTAAAGGTTTTTTAGCTGATCCACTTACTTTTGAAGGTTTTGAAGTACGAAAAATAACCTCAATAAATACTATTCAAGTATTACTTTAGCCATTAGTTATGTAAAAGTTTTAGAGTATAAATTTTAAACTAATTAAAATCAAGAACGAAAGAGTGGATGATCGTGGAGCAGGATTTTAATCTAGAATGCGACAACAGGTCCACATCCCCAGTCATGTGTCAATAGCAAGGGGCGCGAAATCTTGTGTAGAACTAGTTTTGAATTTTTTAAATGTAATATTTTATTAAAAATGTTACATTTTTCTCTAAGTTTATTTTTTTAATGTTTAAATATTGATCATTAAGAATATTTTATGTCATTTTCAACAATTTGGCCACTTGAACAATTATAGTTGTACTTCTTTTAAAAAACTTAGGGTATAATTTTGGAATAATTTAAAATAATGAGAGATACCTTTTGAATTATTAAAACACAAGGATAAATGTGAATTTATCAAAAAATGGGACGGTAGTATTGGGTTTTCTTAAGATATGATAAACTATATATAAACGTTCGGCCCTGTTTACTTCACCGATTCGAGTTTAGAATTTGAGTTTTGTTACAGTAAAAAGTTCTCAGAAACAGTCACATCTAACTTTTTTGCTACAGTAAAAAACTCTCACATAAAATCACATCTCAACTCGAATTACAAACTCGAATTAGCGAAGTGAACGAGTTCACAACAGCAGTTTGGCAGCAAGGGCATCCCGCGTACTGATCTAACTTTTTTGCTACAGTAAAAAACTCTCACATAAAATCACATCTCAACTCGAATTACAAACTCGAATTAGCGAAGTGAATGAGTTCACAACAGCAGTTTGGCAGCAAGGGCATCCCGCGTACTACATGCTCGTCTTCCGTCTACTATCTGCCTCCGCCGTCCTCGTGTGTTTTGAATCATTCCTCTCGTATCTCTCTGTTCCTTAAAAGTTTGAAACTCCCAAAAATTCTTCTCTTCTAATCAGAAGTTAGATACTGTTTTGTTTATTGATTTTTGTGAGGTAACCGTGCATTTTGTTCTCTTCTTCTACCCGAGTTGACAGCAGAGCAGCACATATGTAGAGCAACTTGACCACCCGACCCGAACTCGAGCAGTTCGAAGTATCTCGGCTTTTGGGGCTCAACGGGGTATCGCGGCTCAATTTTTTCTGAGCCTGACAATGTCGGCTCAGCCTAAACATTTGTGGTGCCCCGGCCGAACCCGGCCAATTTACACCCCTAGTCAACTTTTAATCTTGTTCATAAATTGATTATGATGTAGTGGTTTTTTTTTTCCTCCTGTTTTAATTAGAGGTTTGGTTTGATCATCTCTTAAGTTTTGGTTTCATATGGCTTAGATCTTTTGTGCTTATTCTTATTTTGAATTTTGAATTTTTTAGTTTTAATTTAAGTTTTTACTGCAGTGATTTTTCTCTCACAAAAATTGTCAATTTTTTCCGTTACAGTGTTTTCTTTCACATGAATTCACTTTTTAATTCAAATTTATATGAATTTAATTTTTAACTCAAGTTCTCAACTTGAACTAGCAGAACGAACGAATGGGGCATTTGCGTGCGTGTTTCCTTTATTTCGATATGATTGTTTCACCTATTATTTGAGTATATGCAGCTAATATCACATTAGGGGTTTGATCATGATAGTCAACTTTTAATCTTGTTCATAAATTGATTATGATGTAGTGGTTTTTTTTTTCCTCCTGTTTTAATTAGAGGTTTGGTTTGATCATCTCTTAAGTTTTGGTTTCATATGGCTTAGATCTTTTGTGCTTATTCTTATTTTGAATTTTGAATTTTTTAGTTTTAATTTAAGTTTTTACTGCAGTGATTTTTCTCTCACAAAAATTGTCAATTTTTTCCGTTACAGTGTTTTCTTTCACATGAATTCACTTTTTAATTCAAATTTATATGAATTTAATTTTTAACTCAAGTTCTCAACTTGAACTAGCAGAACGAACGAATCGGGCATTTGCGTGCGTGTTTCCTTTATTTCGATATGATTGTTTCACCTATTATTTGAGTATATGCAGCAAATATCACATTAGGGGTTTGATCATGATTTGTTATGGATGTTTTTCACTTTTTCTTGTGTGAGATCATCCTTTTACTGGCAGATTCATGGTGTCCCTGCTATATTTGCTTTGAGAAATGCCCTTTTCCTTGAGCCCATATCTGCATCTCAACGTGAACATGCTAAAAACTTTAGACAAAGATCGCTTTCATATGTCGGAGTGGGAACACCATATGTTAAAGAAGAGATTGGAGAGCATAAAGGAAGAATTAGGACACCAAAACTCGCCGGTGGAGGCTGTAAAAAAATAGACGCAATGGAACAAAGGGAGTGTGGGTGAAGGATAGAGTTCAATTTAAGAGAAAGAGAGCAAAGGTTAGAAACTAATTTCATGTCTTATTTGTCTTATGCCAGAAATATCTGGCTTTAGTCTTCTCATTAGCAGAACTTCTCCGAATGCTTCTATTATCTCTGCTTTCTATGTATTTATCTGCAGGGTCCAAACCCGCTTTCATGTAAGAAGATAAAGCAGCTGGTAAATCCTGTCCCAGTGAAAGTGTGCTTATTTTTTACTCGTTTAGTTCGCTGATTTGAATTTTTAATTCGAGTTGAGATGTGAATTTATGTGAGAGTTTTTTACTGTAATAAAAAAGTTAGAAGTCATTGTTTCTGAAAGCTTTTTACTGTATCAAATTCAAAATCTAAACTTGAATCGGTGAAATGAACGAGACCATTGACTTCTAAGATTATTTAGATATTTAATTATCATATTATTTTGATTTCTTTATAAAAAAAATAGCTTAGTAAGTGCAATTTTAATTTTGAGTTGATTAATGAGTATTATTTAACTTCTTACTTTTTCCCCATTTTTCCGATTCCTTGTTCTATGGAAAAAAAATAGAGAAAAGTACAAAGTTTGCCTTTGCCATGGTTTTGTGAAGTTCCAATCATTCGTTACTTTTGCTTTTAATTATACACATAGTTTTAACCTTTAAAAAAATCGAATAAAAACCTGAATTTAACTCATGAATTATGGACGCGGTCCATTTAGAGAAAGCCTATTAAAGTCGTTCTCAAGGTTTTGATCGTGTTTGTATTTTGTCATTCAAGAATTTTTTAGTCTCAATTTAATGTCGTTTTTCAGGTGGTTGTCATTTAAACGTTTGCATATTTCCATCATTGTTTACTTGACATCAATGTTTTAATTCACTGCCTCTTTTTTATGGGCTCGCCGTTCATGTCTTTTTGAGATTGTCGTCGGATCCAAATTAATCTCGTTTTCATTTGAAGTCGTTTTTAGGTGGTTGTTATTTCCTCAATATATATACTGTCGTTCTTTGCTATCAGTGTCGTTCCCAAGTTTTGTGTGTGTGTGAGGTTCTCAACTTGAGTCACTCCAAAAAAAAAAAAGTTCTTTTTCATTTGTATCGTTTCTTTCATTTGTAGTTGTTATAAGATAAGAAAATAAAAATCCTTAAATGGATTTCCTAAAAAAACCTATATCATTGTCTACAGTCCCAGTGAATTTTTTTTTTTTTTAGATTATGACCCCATAAAGAAAGAAATCTGGACTCTCTGTATAAAATAATCCCAAACACAATAAATGCAAGACCATATTAGTAAACCTTCCGTTACTCAAAAATAAAAAAAAAATAGTAAACCTTCCCTTTAATCCATTAATCATGTGTGTGTAATACATAATATATATATATATATATATATATATATCTATGCATGGGAACCCAACATTTCCAACCAGGACCAAGACAAAGCCAGTAAAAATATTGGAAGAGTAAAATATGGGTTTAGAAATTCTACCATCCACTAGAAATTTAATCCTCCTCGTGACTCTGCTCTCAATTGTAATACGCAAAAGTAAAGCCGTTCATTTTACCGATTTAAGTTTAAAATTTGAGTTTTTTTATAGTAAAAAACTCTTAAAAATAGTCACATTTAATTTTTTTATTATAGTAAATAATTTTCACATAAAGTCACGTATCAACTCAAATTAAAAATTTAAAATAACCGACTAAACTAAACGGCCGTACGTTACTTCCTCCCATGCCGACAAAAACCCACGTTCACATGACCAGCGACTTGGGCCCAGGAATACCACTCACGGTCCATTGCAAGTCCAAGGACGACGATGTTGGTGTCCACGTGTTGGCTGGCTCCAAATGAAAGCTTTGGGTTCTGGTTTGCGCCTTGTTTTATCGGAGGCACGCTTTTCTTCTGCCGTATGGAATGGCCCGGCAATTCCCATTACTTCGATATTTACAATCAGAAAAGAGACAGGTCTAGATGTCGTAATGACGATTGCTGCTGGAGTATAAAGCCCACTGGGCCCTGTGTCTGCAACTCCGACCGTGTCGTCTGTTATCCTTGGAATACATGAATGTAACAGGGAAATTCATATAACGATTTTTCATGTCATTTGTATCATATGATCATCCATGAACAAAAATGCTCAATCCTTTTCTTTATGCATTTCTTAATCCTTTTTGGCATTAAAGGAATTGTCTTTAAGTAAGAGAGTGTTTAGTATGAGGATTCGTGTCATGATTCGAATCATGGTTCGTAGCTCGATACAATATTTTTTTTTTTTAAAAATACACGTAAACTGATAATGATTCTAAATCATGGTTCTGAATTCGTGAACCAAATGTCCACTAAAGCACCCAAACAAGTCAGGCAAATATAATTTTTTCATATTCTCGTGTAATATTGTCCGTTTGTATAAGAAACGCTCAGTTTAAACAAATTATGTGTTCCACACGAGTAAAAACAATGATGCATGTGAATATGAAAATAATTACATTTTTCGATGTTCTGGTGCCTGAGTTAAAGACTTTGCCTTTAATTATTATTATTATTATTATAATAATAATTAACGCTTCTTGGCTAATTTGGGGTAGATATTTTTGCTAGCTATCTAAGGTAATTGTAAACAACACGTGGTCTGGATATGGATATATGGTCACTCCTTGTCTGCAATCCATTTTTTGTTTTATGCAGAGGGAATTTCCAAAAATAATGTCACGACAGAGAGGGCCATACTTTCTAAAAACAATGTTTCATATCTTTCATGGATTAGTTTTTCTTCTCTTTTTTCAGTACATAATTTGAACTTTCATGCGGTTGAGTGTGGGGTAGATAAAACATGGTTATAACTTTGTGCAACTTTTATTTTATTTTATTTTATTTTTTGCTAATCTTTTGCAACTTTTATTTGTTTATCATCAGTGGCTTCCACTTTAATTTTATTTATTTATTTCTGCTGAAAGATTACTATTTGATTGTTATCACTCGATTCTCAAAGTACCTACCTAATTATGTTGTCCTTTCATGCTTTAATTTGATACTCTTAGCAGACCGTCCATATTGGTTATTCTTTTATCTTCTTTACCCTCACAAAGAAATACATATTAGTGTCCCATGTGCGGTAGATACTGAACTTTTTCTGAAATTTATGTCGTGATATTGGTTGAGTTGATACTTTTTCCTCTTGTTATTTTTAATCATTGTCTTTGTCTGCCTTGTGCGCCTACATTGGATGGAACATAATCTTTTGAACTTTTGACTAACTTATGGTTTGTTTAGGGTGCTTAATTATGTTGTATTGTCATAGTAACCTTAATAATATCTTATCAGTATTCTAATAGAAGACAAGTATTTAATTTATTTATGTCTATATATTTGATACAGGTATATATTCCAAATGAAAGCAAAATACAAACATCAATTCTAACTCATAAATCCTCAAACTAAAAAAAAAAAAAAAAAAAAAAAAAAAAACCCAAAAAAAAAAAAAAAAAAAAAAAAAAAAAAAAAAAAGCTCAGACCTCTTAATAACCAAGTTCCACCATTAAACTCGAATTAGATGCTTAAGGGAATAAATGTGAATCTTGAACAGACATCTAAATAGGTACACAATATTTAATTACTTAGAATTCATATTGATTCGTTGATATCTAGAAAGCAGTATTACTGATCATCTGCAAAATTTAACCTTCCTATTTGATCCAACGAACCGGCATACTGAGATAAAATATACAATAAATATTTTAGTTTATCACAGTCCCAGTCCAGTCCTAACTATGTGAAATTAGATGAGACAAAAATGCACGTCAACATTGCTTATCAGAAATGCACAACAAGAATACATATTTGCTGATAAATCATAATATAAGGGTCTGTTTAGTTCGTTGATTCAAGTTGAGATGTGACTTTATGTGAAAACTTTTTACTGTAATAAAAAAATTAGATGTGACTGTTTTTTAGAGCTTTTTACTGTAACAAAACTCGAATCGGCTCCATACGGTAAGATTAAGGTATGATTGTATTACAAAACGCTTTACTTTTTTAAGGTAGGCTCTTTATTCCATTCCTTCGGAATGGCGGGCCTCAAACGTTTTTTTCTTTTTAGAAGGTCGGCCCTTATCCCATTCCACCGTTCCTACAAGTAAGGTCGTTCCTTTATTCCATTCCTTCGGAATGGCGGGACGAGGAAGAGAATAAGGTTGTCCCGTTACTTCATTCCTTCGGAATGACGGAACGAAGGAAAACGTTAAGTCGTCCCTTTATTTCATTCCTTCAAAATGGCGGGACGAGTAATAAGGGTAGTCCCTTCTAAACTCGAATGGGTGAAATGAACGAAGTGTAAGTTCTACTGATGTTGTTCTTCAGATATTTCAGCATGAGGAAAGGAGAAAAAAAAAGGAATCTGAAACATGGTTGTTGGGGATAAATCTAGTCAAAAGTGAGAAAGTTGCTCTTGTTGAGTGCTAATGATTACTTGCTTTTTCATGGGGAAATGCTTTACACATATTATATCATATCATATGCTATAATATGTAACGATCAGTTCATCAAATACATTATCGAAATCTTGGTGGTTGGTCCTGAAAATATATTTATGAAAATGACAATACTAATTTTGCTTGCTAAAAAGCAAACAAATTCATTCGTGTTGCGTTGTTGAGATCAAATGGATTAATTTGGAAATATGTTGTGATATTATATGTCACGCCACAATCCAAAAGACAATAGAACAAAAGCCAAAGTCCAGCACAAACTGGCCCCCTAATCCGAACTCCAAACAACATGTCTTCTTCTCTTTTTGGTATGTGAACACAATTCCCGATTAATATTTGTTCCCATTTACTAAGAAGACGTTTAGTTCATGATTAGAATCATGTGATTAGAACTATTTTTGATTTACGTGTATTTTTTATGAGATAAAATACTGCAACGAACCATGAACTATGATTCAAATCACGGTTTAAATCCTCCAACCAAACGTCCCTAAGTTGTATGCAACTTTCGAGAAGTGGCTGGAAAACCACCAGCACAACACTAACAACAAGATGCCTATGGATTGGTGGGAGTGGCACCACCACAATATAGCCTCTATGATTATGGCGCATGTGATTGGCTCTATGAACAATGCTCTATATATACATATACATATATATATATATATATATATATAACACATGATTTTATGTGTCAATAATCTCTAATAGCTAATGAATAATAAATAATATTTCTTTTTTGACACTATACGACCATGATCGATTCAGAGTAACATGCAGTTTCAAAATACTAAAATATTTATTTAGCCCAAGAGAAAACACACTAATAATTGTGTTTACTAATAAGTTCCTATAGGATTCTATTTCCATGTAGTCTTTAGATGTTCAAAGAGTTTCAGGAGAGTCTACTATAAAGTCTACATTAGTTTTTTTTCAGTAATATGGATTTGCTTTCAGAACAGGCTGTGTAATGGGACAAATGGGCCCACCACCATAATTATGGCTTTCAGCCTTTAGCCTCCGTTTCTTTCCACTGCCCGTGATCCCCCTACTACTTACAATAATTTGCTAATCATTTCCAGTTAATTCTAATTTACACCACTAATCTTATTCTTAAACTTTCGTGAAATTGCTTGCTATGACAACTTACTTTTCTTGATCAGCAGATGAAACCGAGCTCTCAATCAATTTTCAAGATATCATAAGAATGATGTTCCATCCGACGTAATAACAGCTGCTCTAATTCCACGAGAAAGGAAAAAAAAAATAAAAAAATAAAATCAGCATTAGGAGAATCAAATCAATATTCAATGGTCTTCATCTTTAACGGACAAATTTTAAGTACAACGGTAAGAAAGCACGAACAGTGTCAGTTTGGTCAAAAAACAAGGCGCATAAAATAACAAAAAGAGGGATGGGCAAAGCATGTGCCATGTGATGGCAATATTGAAATTATCGGAGTCCAAGGAAAAAAAAGAGGAATAAACTGTTCCATAAAATTAAAATGGAGGCAAATAAGAACAAAAGATGAGCCATATTTATTTGTTTATTTATTTTTTTCTCAAGAAAAATAAGAGAAGAGGGCAACTAAGATTAGCATAATTCGTTTAGAACGTAACTAAAAGAACTTCTCATAATACGCTGATAGAATATTCGTTGAAGGCCCTAATTTTATTAAATATGCTTGCGGTAAATATACACGCATAGTTGTGAACACTTTAAATCGAGCACTAAATTAGTAAAAACATACTTTAACATTTAAAATAAAAAAGACCATCCAACATGAGCCTTTAATCACTAACCTACCACAGTAGTCCAAGGCGATCCCACAGCGTTATTCATTTTGTTACATGGATATACATTACGACTACAGTAACTCAATCTGATAAAAAAAAAACAGAGAAAAAAAAATCACTCTGTTTTTGTCTGTATCTCTGATTTTTTTTTTTTTAATTTGTTTTGGTTAACATTAATAACGCAACCAAGGCGATCCCACAGCGTTATTCATTTTGTTACATGGATATACATTACAACTACAGTAACTCAATCTGATAAAAAAAAAAAACAAAGAAAAAAAAATCCACTCTGTTTTTGTCTGTATCTCTGAATTTTTTTTTTAATTTGTTTTGGTTAACATTAATAACGCAGGACGCAGCCACAAACCTTGGCTGGTAAAGAAAGAAAAAGAAGAAGAAGAAGACGAAGAACCGACCCCATTAATGTCAGAATCCAAAAGTCTATTATAAACCAACCGAAAAGAGCTGCACTTTAATGCCTTACCACTCTCCCGTACGGTTGTTCTCCAACTACCGCCATTATAGCCCGTTTTTCTAAGCTCCATTTTCATTTACTGAAACTACAACAAGACTTGGAATATTATCATATCCATTATAATTGCTGTTCTTTTGGTTTTTTTAAAAGTCCACTTCCCAAGGTTCGTCTTCTCTGCATTTACTTTTATTTTTCCTTCTTTCCTTCGTGGCTTCTTCTCTGTTTTCCTTGGAAATTACCAAGTGAAACATTCTTCTTTAAACCAGTAATGGGTTACTAAATTGTGTCCCTTTTGTTTTTGCTTTGTGGGGTTTTTTTTTTTGAGAAACTTGTTTTCTCTGTACAAGTTCGTCTTAAATTCCTGAACTTGGGTTGGGTTGGTTCAGGTTTTTAATGAAGTTAATGACTTTGAATCACTTCCATTATTCTCAGGAGCATCTGGATAGGAACTAGAATTCCTTGAAGTTTTCATTTGCATGAACCTGAACTTGAAGTAAAAGGCTTTTCTTTTGCTGATTTTCCATATGAGAATCTTCAAGGAGGTCGCTTTTTCCCAGCTTTGATTCTGGGTTTTCATTTTAGTGAAACTTGGTGGCTACTGATTAGTTCTCAAAAGAGCTTGTTCAATGGAATTATTCTCCTGGTTTACATTGCTACTTCTTTTAGACGTCATATTGCTTCCTTGTACCCACCAATTGCAAACTTCCCAGAGACAGGTCTTACAACAGCTAAGGAAGTATTTGGAGTATCCTTCAGCATTGGATTCATGGGAAAATTACAATGGAGATTACTGTGAGTTGTCTTCCTCTTTACACATGAGCATTTCATGCCAGGACAATTCTGTCACCCAGCTCAAAATCATGGGAGATAAAAAGGGTGTTGTTAGGGAGTTTTATGGATTTGCAATTCCCAATCAGACTCTCTCAGAGAGGTTTTCCATTGATTCTTTTGTTACCACATTGACAAGGCTACCCAGCTTGAAGGTTCTCAGTTTAGTGTCTCTGGGAATTTGGGGTCCACTTCCTGATAAGATTCATAGGCTATCTTCAATTGAAGTCTTGGACTTGAGCTCAAATTTCATCTTTGGTTCTGTCCCACCAAAGATATCCACAATGGTTAAGCTCAATTCTTTAACGCTTGATGGCAATTACTTCAATGATACTGCTCTTGATTGGTTGGACTCACTATCAAATCTCACCATTTTGAGCTTGAAGAACAACCGGTTTCAGGGTCAGTTTCCTCATTCAGTTACGAGAGTAACGACGCTTACTGATTTTGCGATGTCTGGAAATAAGCTTTCAGGTAGATTGCCTGATTTGAGCTCCTTAACTACTCTAAGAGTGTTAGATTTAAGAGATAACCATTTAGATTCTGAGTTGCCACTAATGCCTAAAGGATTAGTCACGGTTCTTCTCAGCAAGAACACGTTCTCAGGCGATATCCCCGCACATTTTGGTGATCTTGTTCAGCTTCAGCATCTTGATATGTCATTCAATTCTCTAAGTGGGGTTCCCCCTTCTGCCTTGTTCTCTCTGCCAAGCATTAGCTACTTGAATTTAGCATCAAATAAGCTAAGTGGGTCACTTCCAGACCAGCTAAGTTGTGGTGGCAAACTCGGGTTTGTTGATATCTCGAGTAACAGATTGAGGGGTGGACTTCCTCCTTGTTTGGCCAGTAACTCAGATAACAAAGTTGTTAAACTCTATGGGAATTGTCTTTCCATCGATTCCAAGCATCAGCACCGTGGATCATACTGCAGAGAAGGCATACAAGAGGATAAATCATCGACGGGAACAGTAATAGCGGTTTTAGTTGCTGCCATTAGTGGAGGTGTTGTTATTCTGGTGCTTTTGGTAGTTGGGGTTCTCTTCTTGTGTAGAAGATACCGCTCGAGGAAGACTCCAAAAGATCAGCATACATTGCCTAAACAGCAAGATAATCCACCTTCAGTAGTTTGTTCTGAACTCATTACCAGCGCCAGTAAGTTGTTGATTGGTCCCTTATTTGTTGGCATTTTGTTTATGTCCATGTGGAATTTATGAAACCGGTACAAATTATAGGTGTGCGCTGCAGCCCTGCTGTAGGGCTTTGAAAGATTGAAATAATGCATATATTTTGCTCTCACAATTATATTTTCAGGGTTCATTTCTCAGACGGCAAAGCTTGGGACACAAGGTTCCCCAGTCTGTCGATTGTTCTCTTATGAAGAGTTGAGGGAAGCGACGGACAACTTTGGCAAGTCTAAATTTATGGGTGAAGGCTCCACAGGGAAGGTACCCTTTGAAAACTCATCGTAGATGCTTGATTTGAAAAGAAAATCTAATGATCACTCTTATAATTACTGTAGGCATGTGTAAGGAACTAGGAATTATAAGCGACTCAGAAATTGTCCTAGAAGTTCTTTTATTAGGTCATAAGCTCTTCCGCCTTTGGATTTTTTTATCCTTTTATTTTAATTTAAGAGGTTTATGACTACTATAATGCCCTCCCAAAATGCTATAATTGTATCAATGAGAGAATTACATGATGAAAACCTGGTTCACTAAGAATGTGCATAACCACTTCTACATTTTGTTTTTCCAGCTTTACAAAGGGAAACTGGAAAATGGGAACTGTGTTGCTATACGATCTCTGGCTTTCACAAAGAAATATTCGACGCAGAACCTCAGAGTTCGACTCGAGTTTCTCTCAAAGCTTCACCATCCAAATTTAGTTAGCCTCTTGGGATATTGTACTGAAAGTGGTGGACAAGATGATTCTACTGCCAACAAAGTCTTCCTTGTGTATGAGTATGTACCTAATGGGAATTACCGCACCTATCTATCAGGTACTAAATCCGTTGACCTTTCCAAACCTTGTTGATCACAAGATGGCCCTGCATTTTAGTCTCAACATCGATTTTCATTTTAAACCATTAATCACTACATTCTCGTTTTACGTTCTGAAGGATCTTAACCTTTAAGCTGACTACAATTATATGCAGAGAATAGTCTGGAAAAGGCTCTCAAGTGGCCTGATAGATTAGCAATTTTAATTGGAGTTGCCAAGGCTGTGCATTTTCTGCACACTGGAGTTATTCCAGGTTGTTTCAACAACCGGCTGAAAACGAACAACATATTGCTTGATGAGCATGGGATTGCTAAGTTGAGTGACTATGGGATATCAGTTATCAAAGAAGAAATCGAAAAAGTTGAGGTATGTTTCTTGACGATCCGAAATTGTCGATTTCTCAAATAATGGTTTGATTCGAAGAGCTGTACTGACAGATACATCCTTGTTCATTCTGTAGGCTAAGGGAGAAGGCCAAAAACCAAGGTACTTCAAAGTAAAGTTTGGATAAACACGGCACGATATGCGTTTTATAAATTATGATCATATCTTTAGAATATCTTGTCCTCGGTATGAGATAAACTACAACCCGTTGAGCATTCTTGATGATTTTTATGATTTTTCAATATTAAATAAATTAGAGCCAAGGATTCTACAGTTGTTCTAGGTCAAACATATGCTTCTCGCTGTAGGCAAGAATGCTGATTCCATCTCACACCATCGTCCACTTCATATATTTTTTCTCTTCATAAACTTATTTGATGTTATAATTTATGTTTCTTTAGTTATCATTTTGATACCTTATTTGCAGCCACAGGAAAAATCTTGAGGATGATGTTTACAACTTTGGATTCATATTACTTGAATCACTTGTTGGGCCGATAGTAAGCGGGAAAGGAGAAACGTTTCTGCTAAATGAAATGGTGTGCATAATAAATTATAGAAATCCAATTTCACTGCTTTTAAGACACATATATAAATACATATTCTTTGTCCATTATTTTGATACCTGGCTTTGTGATGAACTACAGACATCCTTTGGAAGTCAAGATAATCGAAAAAAAATCGTGGATCCAATTGTGCTGACCACTTGCTCACAAGAATCACTGTCCATTGTGGTATCAATCACCAAGAAATGCATATCTCCTGAACACTCATCACGTCCATCCTTTGAAGATGTTCTTTGGAACCTACATTATGCAGCACAAGTTCAGTCAACGGCTGATGCTGATCAGAAATCAGATTCCACATCACAGTCCTAAATCTCAAAGTTGGTCACAGGTTCTTCATAACACCTAAAAGACCATCCATTTTTCCAGGCTTACATGTAACGGAAATAATTGCTCCTTCTGTTTAAACACAAGCAACGTTGGGGCCCACCTTTCCACTCATGTGCAAGTATAGATGTTTGGTTGTTTGGGGGGTGTCTTTGTGAGATGGTGATTTGTAGAGTTTTGTAAAGGCCATATTTGATTGCTCCAGATAAGTATACGAATTTTTTGTTTTTTTCTTTTATAGGGTAGAGTTTTGCGTGGGTACTTTTGTTTCTATGACAGGAATGACGTGAACAATTTGTGCAGTGATAAGAGTGTGATTGAAATCGTTTTTGGTGTCGTTTATTTTATTTTATTTTCTATTTTGAAACAATGTCTTGGAATCAAACTCAATAACTGGATCAACATGTACCGTGAAGAGGTAAAAGGAGAGCAGTAGAAATCTAGTGATGAAAAAGAATGTACCGTGAGGGGAAAAAAAAAATGTAACGAACCTAAAATGTCATCTACCTACAATAAGTAAATGAAACGAAAGTAGAATTTGACCCCCAAAAAAAAAAGCGCTAAATATTTACAAGGCCGTTTGTGATATATTTTGTAGCTACGCTAATAATTTTGCCCCGCAAATAAAGATATTACACGGTATGCCACTAAATTTGAAGAGCTTTATAAATGAAGCTTATTCCTGTTCATTTCCATTTCATTTACTCTAACTAAAGTACTAAACACAGATTCTGTTCATTTCACTGATTTGAGTTTTGTTATAATAAAAAGCTCTAAAAAATAATCACATTTAACTTTTTTACTATAATAAAAAATTCTCACATAAAATCACATCTCAATTTAAATTAAAAATTTGAATCAACGAATTAAGCGGACTCTCCGTCTCTAGGATACGGAGATTTTTAGCTGAGTTCAGACGTTTGCCACGATATTGTTGCTGTCATATTCCCTTTGTCCGCCACAAACGGCTTCAACCCGTAGTGTTGCTTTGAATTTTTGAGTTTTTTGCTCATTGCCACATTGTGATCTAAGCGTTCGAGGTTGACACTTGTCAGCCATGTCTTCGTCGTGTCGATTCCGGTGATTCTGATTTCAATTTCTAAAACTATTTTCATTTTCGTTTGTTATTAGTTTTGATGTTTTTGTGAGTCAGTCAAGTTCCTTTTCTTTTTTTTTTTTTTTCTTTCGTACAACCCTTATTTTGTTGGATGAAGAGGGGAAAGAAAATGAAGACTGGACCAATTGATGAGAAATTTCCAATCGTAGGCGGCAAAACATGAAATAAACGCATTACTTTCTAAATTAAAATCAATCATTCAAATATTCAGTGAACAAATCCCTTTATCTATTAATTGTGGGGATTTTTTTCGCGTAAAATAAATTTAATAAATTGGCGGTGGGCTCTGAACAATAAAATTTAAAAAGAAAATGACACATCAAGATCAAATCAATGAATATACTGATTATAATCAGATGATCCATGAGTTAAGATTTTGACAAAATAAATCCCACATCCGTTAGAAAGCAAATGGAAAAGGGGTATACACGACTACATACACTTATAGGCCAACTAGATCATTTTCCGATGAGGAGCTTACGCGAATTTGCTGTTGGCTTACATGTCGGGTCACAGCTCTCCTTCCACGCAAGAGATGAACCGAATCACTTTCACGTAGTCTATGAATTACTGTAATTTTGTGGCGAATCTGTGAAGGCAGGCACTTTGTTGTTTTTACAATGTGTTTTGCTGAACTAGTTCTTTACTTTTTACAATGTGTTTTGCTACAGACTATTTTGTTGTTACAATGTGTAACTAGTTGTTTACAATGAAGTCTTGGATTTGAGCTCAAATTTTTTTGCCTGCCAAGCTCAATACTTTAAACTTGATAGTAATTACTTCAATGATACTGCTCTTGATGGGTTGGACTTCCTATCAATCTCACCATTTTGAGCTTGGAAAAAGAATCTGTTCAGGGTTAATTTCCTAATTCAGTTACTAGAATTATGACGCTTACTGATTTTGCCATGTCTTTTTTGGCAGAATACCCGATTTGAGATTCTTAACTAGTATTAGAGTGTTAGATTTGAGAGAATCTTTTAAATTCTTAGTTGCCACTAATGCCTAAAGGAATGGTTACGACTCTTCTCATCAAGAACTCGTTTCTCAGGTGATATTCTTGCGCATTTTGTTGATATCTCATTCACTTCTCTAAGTGGGGTTTCCCCTTCAGCCTTGTTTTCTCCGCCAAGCATTAGCCACTTGAATTTAGCATCAAATAACCAAAGTGGGTCACATCGGTTCCCTAGGAGAAAAAGAGTTTCGAGTTCCCTATGAGTGTTGTGGAGCGCATAATCTCTTGCTGATCAGCCCTGCCACTTTCCGGTGTTCATACACGACGAGTTTGGAGTGAGGCAATTCACGGCCAGCCAGGGGCGGCGTGATGGTAGGGTGTTCATGCTCAAGGGCAGCTTAGAGAGATTATGCAGTACCGGTTGGCAGGGCTCTGGAATTGCACATACTGCCGGAGGAGGGGCCTAACCATTTCCGGGTCGAAAATGATGATTGAGGAACTTTTATTAAACGTTTAGTTCAGAATCATGTTTCATAATTTTAATTTTTAAAATTTTAATTTTTTATGAGAGAAAAACACTATAGCGAATCAAAAACTATAGTCCAGAACCAAGCTAGAATCATCGGTATCCCTCTTCATCAAAGATCAACCTTTTAGAGTCGTTGGGTTTAGTAACCAGGACACACTTTTACATTACATCTGGAAAATATATATATATATATATATATATATTAAGTCTGATTTGTGTATGTAATCATTGAGACTCAATAGATTGTTCACTATCTAAGTGTGGCCCCACAAACGTAAGTTGTTTAACCGAACTGCGATAAACGATATCAATCTCTTGTGTTCTTTATTTTTCTCATTATTTTTTTGCTTATTTAATTGAACGTTACTGAATTCAAAAATATATAATTAATCACACCCAGAGTTAACAATTTTCAAATATCATCATAGGTTTTACCAGCAGTAGTGAGAAGCTATTAGTCGTGTCAACCAACTTCCTTTTGTTGAAGCTATTGTTTTGATGCTTAGAGTTCAAGCTTATGCTACATTTTTATTATTATTTATTTATTTATTTGCTATGGCAACTTTATTCACCTTCCTAAACCACTTTGGTCTTTACTTCTCAAGCCAAGTTTGGTGATCTAGCCATACCCTACTGATTGGGCCATTTTTCAGTTTGGCAAATGTTTCAGTTCTATAATGGATTATGTGCCATGTTGGACGTACCGAAAGAGTGAGATTGTACATCTCACTCGCAATATTGAAGCATACCCAACTTTATAATTGTAGAATATGGTCTGTAGAAACACTACAAAAAATAAAAAAATAAAAAAGAAAAAGGAATAAGGTGTGAAGAAAGTAAAGTTGTTATTTATTTTGTTTTAAGTGGTTGTTTCATGTCCCATTACACCGTCTGGTCTGGTGTGGTATGGTGTGGATGGGTAAGAGCAACATTCACATAAGAAAGCTCTGTTTTTGGACCCCCCCCTCCGAATATTATTGAATCACCAACAACGTCCTACTTCATGAAATATTTAATGGGAAACAAATGAAGAAAAATCATTTTCTTACTAACCCTGCGTCACTCTTATCTACACACTTAACTATGAAGATAGATGATATATACATTTCCAGGATTTTCCCTAAGATATAATTTTTTTGAAGTGACAGAGAATATTAATTTTATTTTTCATAAAAAATATTAACTGTGTTTGAAGGGAAATAGTAGAAAATAGGCCAATATGAAAAATTTAAGAAAGTATATAGGCCAATTTTTAGTTATAGAAATTAATAGATTATAACTTATCAAGTTATGGTTCATAACCAGATAAGTTATGGACAAACTTGTCAAGTTATGGTTCATATTCAGACAAGTTATGGACAATAACTTGTCAAGTTATAGTTTATAACCAGACAAGTTATGGACAAAAATAATAATCTGGCCTATTTATTAACTTATGTAAACTATTGACCTATTAATTTTAATTCATCTCAAGTCTCGATCTATTTCTCTCCTATTATTATTATTATTATTATTATTATTATTGCATTTCACATTCCTAATACTTCTCTCGTTGTTTTTACTAGTGGGCCAAAATATACAAACAGAGCCCACTCTATGTAGGGTATTGTGGGTTGCGAGCCCAAACTGTTCCCAAGTAGCGTGGGAGCCACTATTTTGGGGGCTGTGTTTGACTGCTGCTTTAGTCCTCTCTGTCGGTGAGTGTATCCCTATCCAAGCGAGAAACAAACACGCGCGTCTAAAACTAGAATGTTTTTTTACGCGCCTTTGAAGAACCCGGATTTGATACAGTAGGTGTTAAACTGGGTATAAATTATAAAATCTAGAAGCATTTTCAATCCAATACTACAAATTTAATATTTTAGTGTAAAGAATACTTTTTAATATAATGTTATTTACAGTGTTAAATTTTTAATATATTATATTGTAGTGACCAAGGAAAAAATCTCATAATTTTAATAATGTAATTCATGTATTTAAGTCAAGGATTTCCCTGGAAAATCATTATATTATGTACATTTTGTGATTGAATGATTTATGAAATTAACATCTGCATTCCTAAATTCTGTAGCAGATTTCACGTTAAGTTCACGTTTTTCCAATCAAGCAAATTCGATCGATAAATTCTCACCGTGCTTTAAAACGGACGAATTTCCAGTACAGATACAGTTTGAGAATCTTAATTTTAAGAATCTCCTAGCACAGTACAAACTAACATCCAGTACCTGTATACAGGAGAAAATAGCTGTCAGTATAATTTTAGACAGTTTTAATAAGTAACTTAAGGGAATGGACAAAAGTACAAGGGGTAGGTTAGTGTGTGTGATTTGATGTGATAGTAATGATTGAAAGTAAATCATGACATTTCCTCCTTCACTTTTCTCTTCACTTGGCCGGCCATCTTCAAGGATTTATAGCAAAAAATTTTGGTTAAATATTGAGTGTGCTAGAGGATTGATGTAATAGTAATGATTGAAAGTAAATCATGACATTTCTTCCTTCACTTTTCTCTTCACTTGGCCGGCCATCTTCAAGGGGTTCAAGCAAAATTTTTGTTAGTTAAGTAGATAAAGGAGGTAATAACCTAGAGGTCTATAAATAGAACCAATGTGATCTAAGCCTAACTTTTGATTTATCTCACTTCCTTCTCCATATCCAAAACCGGTTCTCCAAAGCTCCAACCCTCAAGGTTTCTAAACTTTTTCCTCACCAAAACCAAGCCAT